GCGAGTTAACGTAGTTTGCTACTGGCGTGTTTGTATTTGCACGAGGGGGGTGTCGACTGTAGAGACCCCCGCTGAGTGGCCGCGGGGTGGCATGTTTAAGTGGCCCTTGAGAAACTGCGACTAGTTAGACAGGCGTGTGCGCACGTGTGTGCGACTGACTATCGGTCAGGTGGTCTTCAAGTCAGCGAGTGGGAACAGCCGCCTGCAAAGACGGATGACGCTGGGGGCCGCGGACATTGAACGAGGAAGGGGACAGTATTTATTGGCCGTCCGCCACAGCCTTGCTATCGGGGATTTGAACTCCTTGTCGTTACCGATTTTTCACAATCTCTTTATGACGGAAAGCCTCAAATAGGCTTTTCTATGGATGGAAATATTCGATGTAAGTTCAATTACGGAGGAGAATGTTAAAAGTCGAAAGTAACTTTTCGACATGAAAAACTAAACGGGGCCTTTCTAGTTTATTTGCCGGCCGCCCTCAGCCATATCTGTTGCTATGGTAACCCACAAACCCCTCGCGAGGACTACCATATACACAATAAGGCCTTAAATTCGTGCTACATGCCAACACATGCGAAAGATTGATACTCTCTCGCTGATCGGCAGTGAGTAAGGTTGTAATACTGATTATTGTGTAGCCTATTCTGAAATTATTTCAGTCACGATAGGCTGCCGGCTTTTTAAAGAGCTTCTTTCTGACCGCTTACCAAAACGCATGCATCGTAAAAAGTAGCTATTTAAGTGGCATGCTTTTTTATCATTGATTTTGACTGCCTTTATAAGTTCAAAGATATTTTATGGAAAGCGTGAACAAAAAATTATTTCTTTTACTCTTCTGGTAGGAAATTACGCCTTCTTTAATTTTTATACTTAAGGAAAGGGTATCTTTCGGTTTTAGAAAACTTCCTAATTATGAGACTTTTTACGAGTATGAAGTTTTCATTCATACTACATCGTATCCGTCAATTTACTAATGCTGCCTATACTGTATACAGCATGTTCCACCTCCGTTGCAATATTTTACGAGAACTATGTGACCCCTTCTTCCTTAAACCATAGGCGAAACGCACTTTCTCTTAAACCGGATGTACACAGCGCGCAGTTTGTAAACCTTGAATTCAGGAGTAGCAGTCAGTAGGCTTCAAAATTGTTCGGCAATTTAGAAACGTTTTTTTAAAACCTAAAGAGACCTTTTCTTTAAGTATAACATTTCAAGAAGGGGTAACTTGCTACCAAACGAGTACAGTAAAGTATTTTGTACATGCTTTCTATAAAATATCTTTGAATTTATAAAGGCAGTCAAAATCAATGGTGAAAATGCTGTCCATTTAACTTAGCCATTTTATACATTGTATACTTTTTGTTAGCGGTCAGATGGAGGGTCGTTAAAGAGCCGGCATCCTATCGTGACTGAAATGACTTGGGAGTAGGCTGCACGATAATCAGTATTACTATCCTACTCAGTGCCGATTAGCGAGTGATGGTGCACGAATTCGGAGTCGTACTATACTCTGTAAGAAATGGTCACTCAAGTAGTAGGCAGTTTTGATGTCCTAATGGGTTCAAAGATGATTTATGAAAAAAAACATGCGCAAGAATACTGTTTCTTGTTCTCGTTTAGCAACAAACTACGCCTTCTTCACATTCTTTACTCAAAGATAAGGCATATTTCGGTTATAAAAATTTTACAATTGCGAGATTTTTTTCAAAACCGTGAAGTGCTCACTCATACTACATTGTATCTTTATGCCTATAAGGTATACATCATGATCTATATTCATTGCAAACATGTACGATATCCATGCAACCTCTACCTTAAAGCCTAGAGAAATTTCAGATTTTTCTTCGAGAGCATGTGTACAGTTTGGAAAGCTTGAAATAAAACCTAAGGTTCGGCAAGGTTTTTGAAATCAAAAAATACCCTTTCTTCGAGCATAAACATTGAAGAAGAAAAGTAATTTTCTACCAAACATGTACAGTAAAAAATATGCTTGTTCATATCTTCCATAAAAAAATATATTCTTATGTATAAGAGCAGTAAAAATGAATGAGGAAAATGCATACTAATTAAGTAGCGACTTTTCTTAAAGAATGCGCTTTCTGCAGGCGTCGTTTAGAAGGCGGCGCCTCCTGGCACGACTGAGATATCCTGATATTATAATGAAAGATTTTCGGTATAACAACGCTATATAAGTAGTTTCTTCGAATCGAAAACACATTTTAGAATTTCGTCTGATAGTTCCTTGGATGTGGAACACGAAAGGGCAGAAAGGGACATGGATGCAAGAACACCAGAGAGTCACCCACCTCGACGTTCGGACTCGGAGATTTCCATGAAATGCTTGTGAGTCTCCGCCTGGTGGGCATCCACGTTGGCGATGTCACGCTGCTTGGCCCTCGCCTTGTCCAGGGCCTTGTTGACGTTCTGGTAGTCTGCGAGAGATCGACTGCGACGATAGAGGAGACTTTTGACAGCCGCCGAGGCATTGGTGTAGTACATCAGGGTGTCGGTCAGCTTAAGGTCCTCATCGGCTGCGATACGCATTTCCATGGGCTGTGTGAATTTTGAAACAACTCAACTACTTAAAGGCATATAGTAGTTACTTAATTATACTAACCGTACATGTATTACAGCAGTGTCTTGCACCGACT